ACTGGTAGATGATCTATATGCACACTTGAGATCGCTCATCGTCTTTTCTGGATCATGTGCCTTCTAAGGGGTACGCGTTCTCTTTCTTTTCCCGTCTCCTGAATTGATTCTCTTTCGATTTTCATCACAACATAATCATGCAATTGGTTTATTATATCTCCCCCTTACATATAAGAAAAAATGTAAGAGATGGAGGATTTGACACGTGTTCTCTTTTGTCCATTGTAAAGGCCATTCTTCTTGCTACGTTTTTACGCATTTGCCACTAGCTTTTTCCACACGAATTAAATTATGTGTGGTGCCATACGCAACCGAGATACACACGTTTTCTCTCAATCTGCTCTCAATTATTGTCGGATAATGCTCTCCTCTTCTCTCCTTCAAGCGACCTAGCAACAGACCGAACAGTTGCAACCATGGCCACCAGAGTTCAGACATTTAGAGATACACGATGAAGCCAAGGGAGACACCACAGTTCCATCGGCAACGGTCGGCGCGGCGGTTAGAACCCGAGAGGCGGCGCGTAAGCAGAATGAGAGCTTTTCTTTAAGAAGAGAAGTCAAAAGAACCGCCTTTCCTTACTCGCGCACGCAGTAATCTGCTGAGATTCTCAGAATTAGCAGCAAAAAGGGTAACGAAATTATGATACAGAACATTTGGGAGTTTGACTGAAACAAGGGTTTTTGAAGACCCATTTTGGTGTTCTTGCCCTTTTGCGTCTGAAAAATTCAATCTTGGTGCTTCGCACATCTCAATTTTTCTATTCATTCTTAAACCTCCCCAAGCTCGGGCGCTTGATTTCTCTGTCTAGGGTTTCCTGGAGTTGAAGTACGATTTCATTTATGTTCCATCTTATTTAGTTGTGCCGGGAATTGAAAGAAGCGGTTTTCTTTGATTTACTGTTCTCTCCTAGCGGGAGCTCTGCCATCGTCCGGTGAGATTTACCGTTTGATTGTTTCTTTTTAAATCCTTTTTTTTTTGAAGATGGTCCCAAATATTAAGGTCAAGACATCCGTCCAGTAAAAGGGAAAAAACAGAAACTAAAACCTCAGATCAAGGAAACGAATCCCTACGGACCCTACCTCAAACAAAAAAAGATATTTAAAAATAAACAATCAGATGGTAAATCCTCACTGGACGATGGCAGAACTCCCGCTAAGAGAGAACAGTAAATAAAAAAAAAGATTAGTGATGGTAACTTCTTATTTGAGCTTTTGGTTTCTGAGGATGGATATTATATGGATTTTGTTTATTAAGTAGAATGTGGTTGGTGGTGTTAGTGAGTTTGAAAAAAATGTTTTGGCTAAATGAATAATCTGTGAATGTATGTTCAATGACTACTGATTGGAACAATTGAAAAACTTTGTTATAACATATTTGCAGATATTGGACATTCAATCATCTTGAGGATTCTGCGTGTTCTGATATCATGTGCCTTTATGCATATGAATGTAATCTTGGATTATTTGGTTAGGACATATTTTACTTATTTTGCTTAACATATGTTGTTTTCTCCGTGAAATATCATATTATAATTTAATGCTGCATTTTATCAGTTTTTATAGTATGGTGACTTAATCTATTATTTATTTGTTTATTTTTATGCTGCAGATATTAAGAAAATATGATGAAGACAGTTGAAAAAGTTTTTTTTTTCGTATACATATATTTGTGATTGCAACAATTCTTATACTTTTTATTATGGTTCTATAGTGTCCAGACATAAAATTTTCCATATTGAAATATCCTAAAGGGGCTTCTTTCTTCCCTATGAACTCATCTATCTATCTATATCTCTATATCTATATCTATGTAAAAAAAGATTTAGGTTGAAGGAAAAGGCTTCACGATTTCGATCTCAGAAGTAATTTAATCAATTAATCTCAAATGTAAATGTTCGAATGATTTTTTCTTTTTATTTTTGTGTGTGTGTGTGTGTGCAGATTATCGGTATCAAATTTGTGCAATTTTAT